CGCGTGCGCGCGCGCGTGGGTCTGTGTTTGAGCACATGAATTTATGTACACATGAATGCTGTTGTCTGCAGAGACCAGATGTTGGATCCCCTGGAGCTGGAATTATAGATTGTTGTGAGCCACCCACTGTAGCTGCTGGGAATTGAACTTTTGGGTCCTCTGCAAAAGTAGCAAGGGCTCTCAACTGTTGAGCCATCTCTTTAGCTCCATGATTGGATTTTTAAAGAAGACTATTACTTTGTGAAACACTTTAAATAAAACTTAGGTCCCATGAAAGAACAAATTGTCTAGCCAGTAATTGCACTTTAGAAAATAACATTAATTACTCCAGGATCCATATTTGATTTGAACAGCTGAGGTCAGTGGTCCTTTGTGCTTTCCTCGTACTTTTAGATCTTTGACTCTGTTTGAGTAAGGGTGATAAGTACTCTGTTTGTGTAAGACCTAGAATCCATAAATGCATTTAATATATAAGCCATTAAATAATTACCTTCTATTTAGTATGTAATTCCAGATCTACATTTTAGTTTGATGAAGCTGAACAGTAAAGGTTGGTTGTACTATTTCCAGTTCCCTGAATCATCCACTGTTAAGCAGATGTTAGAGTTTCAAAACTGGTATATTCCACAGAATTTATTCAGATCTACTCCTCTCGTTCTGCAGATGAGAAATTTGGGCTCCTGAAAACAAAAATTAACCAATAATAGAATTTACGGAACACCTACTGTATGTAATGCCCTAATCTTTCCATCTATTCTTTCATCTAATTTTGTCAGTTACTCTGTGATGAAGATAGTATTTTAGCTCTTTACAGATGGAGAAATTGGGGTTCAGAGAACTAGTTAGGTTGCTAAGTTAATACAGGTGTTTGAGGTTTATCTGTGTTTTGAACACAGCTTTCCTGATGTATATTCTAGTACTCTTATCTCAAAGTAGATAGCTGGCATTGCTTATTTCAGAATCTCAAGTTTCATTTCAGTGCTCAACTTACTATTTTATTTACCACTATAAAGAAAGAATCCGTGGAACTTGCATTAAAACTTTTGGATGAAGATGAAATTAGAGGCTACAAATTGCATGTTGAGGTGGCAAAGTTCCAGCTGAAGGGCGAGTATGATGCCTCAAAAAAGAAGAAGAAGTGCAAAGATTATAAGAAGAAACTGTCTCTGCAGCAGAAGTTTGTATTATTATTTTTTTCTTTTTTTGGAAAAGTTTCATATAAATATTTTAAAGCATGTTTTTGGTACTAACTACTTAGTTTTGTACCATCAAACACGTCTAGAGATTCTTGTAGGGGACACCGTAACCAGCCATGAGCTGTATTTATATATACAGGTTTGTTAGTAAAAGTTAGAAATGATGAAGGTTTTATCACTGCATTTACTGTATAGTTGTATATATATATATATATAGTTACATTCCTATTAATTTGCTATTAAACATATTTTGAAATATGCTAGTTTTAGGAAATTAGTCAAATTGATAGTTATACCCTTGGATTATGCTAACATTCTAGCATTGTGCTTAAACTCATGATACAATGAACATCAAATTATCTGTGTGTGGTACCATTTTTTTTCAGGTTTAATTAAAATAGACACCTACAAATTTTACAGACAGTATCAGGAAAATGTAACATTATAGCAAAGAGCCAACAGTAGTACAGCATATATAGTACACTGTATATGGTATACTCTTCAGTGTGTTCTTTGCTATATTATACAAATTTAAAATGGTTTTTGGTTTCTTTATCTGTGAACTCATTGTACCAAACATATATCAAGTTTTTCTTGTCATTAGTGTCTATACAGTGCAGTATGACAGCTACTTACGTAGTATTTACATTGTGTAAGGTATTATAGTACTCAAGTGATAATTTAAAGTGCTTAGGAAGACATGTATAGGTTGTAAGTCAATACAGTAGTGTCCTATATTAGTGTTCTCTGTGGCCAAAGTTTTTGGTGCCTAGCTGGGCGTGTATGGCCTGGAACCAGTCCTCCACTGATGACTGAGGGATGCTTCTTCATCATGTTAGAAAGTTGTACATACTAAACTAAGTCAATAGGAGGCTTTAGAAGTAGTCTAATTGCAGTATGCATCTAGTAAGATGAGTTACTTTCATAAAGAACACATGTGGGGGATTTCAGTTACTGAGTATGTAGTTTTGCCCCCTGCCTAGAATTTTTTTTAACTTCAGAAAGTTCTGTGGAACTATGTTGGAATCAGATAATGACTATTATTACACTTTCACTAAAGGATTACATCTATCCCTTTTTCTTTCCCACAAATCTGAAGCCAGATTTCAGTTTACTGTTACTTTTTGTTACATTAGGCAGTTGGATTGGAGACCTGAGAGGAGAGCTGGACCATCCCGGATGCGACATGAGCGAGTTGTCATCATCAAAAATATGTTTCACCCCATGGATTTTGAGGTAGGAAATGTTGTTTTAGCATCTAAAAGTTCTGGTATGTTTTCTTACAAGAGGGTGCAAAGCTTACCATGCCCTATCTTTGTCAAGGCATATTCCTGTAGTAATGGGTAGGATAGGAAAAGAGAACAAAAAAAAAAATAAAGCTGTATTTGGAACTCCATGTGTTTATCCCAGTGTTCTTTTGATTGTAACCCAGATAAGACAGTTAATATTCATACTATGGCCCAAAATCACAGCTGCTTGCTATCTGAATTCTAAGACTGATGGGAACGGCCTTTGGATTTGTACTACAGTTCAGTAAGCACTAGCTGATTTTGATAGAGAATGACAGTTCTACACTTGCATCTGAAAACTTTGTGTTACTGATAAAAATTTGATCCTTAAAGAAATCTGATGTTTATAGTGGAGATTGTTTTTCAGGACCACATTTTCGACCAAGTTCTTTAGTGAATATTAAAATCCATATAAAATCGCCAAACCAACAAATAAGATGTTAAATGAATAGTAATTGTCAAGATAGCTTACACTGCATTGTGCCTCTGATACCGTCTGCTACTGTAGATGGATACCATCAGTAATGGAAATACAACTTTTGTTTTCTCTCTGTGGTTCTGGAATTAATGATGGCATGTTGTACACAAGGAAGGAAATGTTCATGATGTAAAAATTCAGATTTGGAAACATTCTAGTTGCAGTCTGTTTAATCTTGTTCTTTTTGTTAACATTGTCAACAGCGTCAAAATGGTAGTTTTAGTTTGACCCCTTAGCAAGGGCCTTAAAATGGACGGTTCAACCTTATCTCCCATACCTCCTGATATGAGCTTGATGAGAGCCTGTTAACAAGAAAGACTACAGTTGTCTTACTTTTTGTTCAGGGTTTCAGAACCTGAACCTCAAATCATGTCAGTCTAGATCTGTACAATCTAAATAAAGTAGACTCTAGCCACCACAAATTATTATTAAAACTTGAAGGTTTACCTCCTTAGTTATACTTGACACATGTAGCTGCTAGGTTGGGTGCTACAGATAACATAGAACAACTGTATAAGCAAGTGCTGCTGATACGGATATAGAGGTTCCAGAATTTCTATTAGGTTTTGTTTTGTAGACAGGGTTTTACTAGCCCAGGTTGCCTTGAAACTTACACATTCTCCTGGCATTTCCTATGAACTGGGATTCCAGGCATAGCCTCGTGTATTATATAACTCCTGATAGAAGGGTTCATGGGGCATTTTAGGGACTGTTTACTTTGACTGAGGACTGGTTATGAACCTAAAGAAGAGACACCAACATTAAACTTTTTAGAGGAAAACAAAAGCAGCATTGTTGAATTACCCTAAAGTATCAGAAAGAACTTATATTTGTAAGGATGGGGTATATTTTTACTCCAGATACTTGAGTAATGTTAGAAGTTACATACCTAAAAATGCTCTCTGGGATCAGGGTAAATATAATAAAGGATAATTTTATAATGTAACTTCAGATGGCTTCAGTGTTCAGTTTGAAGCCTTACTTAAAAATACTTTGCCTGGAAAGTCTGAATATCAAGAAATGAAGAATCAGAACTCCAACATGAAGGGAGATTTCGTTTTTGTGCACATTAGCGTAGTCCAGTAGAAATACGCAATGTGAGAAGCTACATGTAAGATTATTATTTCTATGGCCTTAGTAAAAAAAACAAGATGGAGCTAGGGAGATTAATTATAATAAGGACTTTCCTAGTAACCATACATGGTCATTCTCCAGCACCTTAGTCAGTGTAACATTTAGGTAAGTAAGCTCCATGTATAGCTTACTGGGTTAAAGAATCTTGGAGAAGGGAAGCATCTACTGTAGAACAGAGGTGATGTGTTCCCTTCTGACCCTTTACATGCCCTGAAGCATAGAGTTCTCTTCATCATTACTTGGAGTCCTGAATCCTTCCAGACTTATGGGAGGAGAATCCTTCTGAACTGGAGACCAGCAGTGGTACCAGCAAAAATGGGAACTGAGCAAAGCAAGGTTCCCAGAAAAAGGAAAAGATGTGTGTGTGTGTGTGTGTGTGTGTGTGTGTGTGTGTGTGTGTGTGTGTCTTTTCTAGCACATTCATGTGGGAAAGTAGCAAAAACATTTTCCTGTGTACTTTAAAACAATACACACACACACACACACACACACACACACACACACACACACACACACACACGTATAAGTATATAGATTTCCTTTGATACTGTGGACCTTCTCTTTGCCATACTTCTCCATTTCCTCTCTCTCTCAATGTGAATAGACCTGAACAGTAGCAGTAAGTGAAGTCATCTAACTTAATTCTATTTTGACTTTTTCATCTATTACTGTAGTCTGCAGACAAATGTACCTAACTTTAAGCAAAGCACTTTTTCATGTTAATTTGACACAGTAATAAATTTGGTTCTTGAATTAAGAAGGAGGGAACTCCATCTTAATCATGTTTGTTTTTGCAGGATGATCCATTGGTGCTCAATGAGATCAGAGAAGACCTTCGAGTAGAATGTGCCAAGTTTGGACAGATTAAGAAGCTCCTTCTGTTTGATGTAAGTTCATGGCTTGCACCAGTAAGGCCTGACATCTTTCCAAGATGAGGAAGTGACTTAGATTGCCCTGGATTTTAGATTAGTGTTTTTATATCACAGGCCTGCTGTCTGTCAGCAATAGTTCAGTCAGTGAACATGGTTTACAAGGCAAGTCTTGGATTGTTTTGATGTGCCAAGTTTATTTCCCTTCCTTCTGACTCTTAAAAGAGTATGTGATCAGGTGAGAGCAACTAGAATAAAAATGTATGGAATATCAATTTCCTCAAAGTTCTTTCCTTTCTCTGTTATTCACCTGATCATAGTCAAGGAAAAAAAAACAACTATTGTTTAGTTTTCTCTGTACTTCCAAGACTGATAGAAAGTACTTAACTGACCATTTCTTACAATGTATTGCTGGTATGCTGCAAGGGGCTTTATACATTGTGCTGCTTAACCCTCAGAACCCTTTGAAGTAGGTAGCTACTAGCTGTACAGATAAGGAAGCCACATCTTTTCAAGTAGAAGTAGAAGTACTTGTAGAAGTGCTTGTTCAGTTCCTGACAGGCAGGCTTTAATCTCAAATTCACACTCAAACAATTACATGGCCTTAGCTCTTGGGTAGTATTGTTAACAGAAACATTTGCAAGGGCACTGTACTGGTTCTTGCTAGACAAAATGAAGCTAAAGAAGCAGCTGACCACTGGCTGGAATAAAAGGGAAGAAAGATTTCAGAAGTCTTTTAGTTCAGAGTTTCAGGAGAATACTACTCTTTATCAGTCTTATGAAATGTGTATCTGATTTTTAATCTTGTCATTCAGTCCTCCTTCTTCTTGTCTTTTTAGAGGCACCCAGATGGTGTGGCCTCTGTGTCCTTCAGGGAACCAGAGGAGGCTGATTATTGTATTCAAACTCTTGATGGAAGGTGGTTTGGTGGCCGTCAAATCACTGCTGAAGCCTGGGATGGGACTACAGATTACCAGGTAAATCCTGCAGCTCTCAAGGGCACAGGAACTGTTGCCTTGTCAACTGTAGATCTAGTTTGGAGGTTGCTTTAATCTGTTTTGTATAATACATCTTGTAAATAATGTTTTGCATTAGAGGATAGAGAAATTCTTATCACTTCTCAGCTTGTAAGTCTTTAATCTGGAGGTTTTAACCTCAGAATGATAGGAATAGAAGAGTGCTAACTATTCCTCATCTTTCTTGTTAAAGAGAATGTACAGAGCTCCAATAGTAATGTTTTAGGAAGTGGAACATTTCAACAGTACTGGGATAGTCACATATATTTCTATGATTTTATTGCAGGTATATTGTGTGTAAGGTTGTGTAAACAGGTATATGGTTTTGAAGACCAGAGTAAGGACATGCATGGATTGCTTTAGAAAAGTTGCTTTATAGAACGAGGGTACTTGTGTCAATAGTAGAACTTCCCAGAGAAGTTGTTGCTTCTTTTTGCCTAACATTCATCTTAACCGTAGTCTCTGTTTATTCACAGGTAGAGGAGACCTCAAGAGAGAGAGAGGAAAGGCTGAGAGGCTGGGAGTCCTTCCTCAATGCCCCTGAGGCCAACAGAGGCCTCCAGCGGATGGATTCTGTCTCTGCTTCAGAACAGGCAGGGCCTTCCAGAGGAAGGCATTTTTCAGAGCACCTGAGCATGTCTACCACAGGTGCTCAGGAAGCTACAACTGGAATAGCACTTGAAGAGCCTATCGATGAAAAGAAGTTTGAAAAAGCAGAAGATGGGGGAGAATCTGAAGGAGATGCTTCTGAAAAAGATGCTAAAGAAGGTGGGTACGAGGAAGGTTACCCTGAAAGAGAGGGTGAAGAGGGCTCCTCCAAGATAGAGTGTGAAGAGGGCTGCCCCAAGACAGAGTATCAAGAGGGCCACCCCAAGAGAGAGAGTGAAGAGGGCTACCCCAAGAGAGAGAGTGAAGAGGGCCACCCTGAGAGCAAGCTTGAAGAGGGGAATCCTAAAATGGGATCTCAAGAGAATGGCCCTGACAGAGAATCTAAGAAGAAAGGCAAAGATAATTATGAAAAGAATGGCCTGGCAAAAGAGTCTGAAGACAATGAGCTCAGCAGAGAGTCAGAAGGGGAAGAGAGCCTCAAGAAAGAGTCTGAAGATGATGACTCAGAGGAAGAATCCAAGGAAGACTGCCCAGAAAAGCTGTATGAAGATGACTCTGACAAGGAATTAGAAGAAAATGGTGTTAAAAAAGATTTCGACCAGGATACCTCTGACAAGGAGTTCCCTGAAAATGTTGAGAAAGAGTCAGAAGAAAATGACACTGACAAATCAGAAGGTGATGAAGGCTCTGAAAGAGTGTTAGGTGAGGAAGGCTCTGAGAGAGAATTTGAGGAAGACTCAGATGAAAAGGAGGAGGAGGAGGAAGAGGAGGAAGAGGAGGAAGAAGACAGAGAAGAGGAAGAAGTTGTATATGAAAAGGTTTTTGATGATGAGTCTGATGAGAATGAGGATGAAGAAGAAGCAGAAGAAAAGGAGTGTGAAGATGCTGATGACAAAGAGGAAGAAGATGACACAGATGACAAGCTCTTTGATGACTCCGATGAAAAGGAAGATGAAGAAGATAGAGATGTAAAGCAAGATGAAGATACCAATGACAAGCTATTTGAAGATAATTCCAATGAGAAGTTTTTTGATGAGGAAGAAGATGCCAGTGAGAAATTGTTTGATGATTCTGATGAGAGAGGGACTATGGGGAATGTGAAGGAAGATGGGTCTCAGTCCACCGACAGCAGCTTTGCCCTCAGTAGTGATGATGATGATGAAATGTAATCCTTTCCACTTGCTTTTTAGGGAGAGCCCTGCGTCTCTGTTTGCCTGTGCTTCAGGATCAGTAGTAGTGTTACATCAACAAGTGCATAGTGGTAGGATGCCATCAGACTAATGTCTCGAAGGTTTTTGTTCTTACCTATAACAATGAATTAGTATGTGTCTATTGGTTCTTCAGTTAAAACTTCATAGTTTAACGCAAGGAAACTGGATACCTGTCGTTTTGTTGGATTTGTTAAATGCATGCAAAAGAATATTTTTAAAGTATCCTAATTGGAGTTTGTGATATTCAGAAATAAAGATAAATTGATAATATGCAGAAACTGAGATGTGGACTTGAGTTGATATGTGTTTTGAATCAAATATCACTTGATTCCTCCCACAGTCCTTGTTTCCACCTGTGTCACCATTTGGGATAACCTTCCCCATTCTGCAGTACAACATGGTCCTAAAGTCACGAGATAAATGACATTTTAGATCCTTTCCCCAATCCTTGGAAGTTACATGTTATCTTTTTTACTCTTTCTATTAAGACTAAGATGTATAAACTGAATTCAATGTGGTCTATACCTTCAATTATTGAAAATAGAGAGAAGGTAATCAGAGGTTGACTATGCTGGTTTAGAAGATGACTAAAGAGATGAGTTCTCTCTCCAGAACAATGTACGCACAAGCATTACACAGCTTCTTATATACAGTTTGGAGAGGCCCATGAATTCCTCTGGAGATTAAGAACTTTCTCCCTAGGAATATACTTTGTGTTTTGTTTTAGAGTCACAGTTCCTAGTATTGTACCATGTCAGATTGCCCCAATACAATTATGAATCATCCTTGATCGAGCTTTCTCAATTCAGTATTGGTGAACTTTCTAACAATGTAGTGTCTAGAAGTTCTGTTGGGAGCAGTGAACTGCATCAATGCTCAAACACCCACTTACTAGAGACAATCTCTAAAGGAAAGGCATGCTTTGCCTTCTATACACATTGGTTGGAATGTGCAGTTCTACAACATAAATTAGGTATACAACTCTGCCAAGAGAGGTCTTGGTGGGAAGTGTGTAATTTTGACTCTAGTGGCAGCAAATACCTGTAATCCCAACCCTTGAGAGGCAGAGTCAGTGGTGCTGCAAATCCAAGGTCATCCTGGTCTCCATAGGTTCAGGCCAGCCTCAGCCTCATAGTGAAACCCTGTCTCAGAAAAGCATAACTTGAAAATCCAGACCCTGCCATTTGATCAGTTGTTTGGGGGGATTAAGAAGGATTATCACTGGTTGGCAAAAACTTCTTCCCATTTGTAGATGGGAAATATGGCAATTCCCCATCTTTTTGGACTTGATGGTCAGCATTGCCAACCCTAGCAGCTTACCATCTGTACCTGTGTGCCTGTGTTTGACACGCATACGCGTGTCTGTGTTTCAATTAGGGTATGCTGTCCCCATAACCTGGCCAATTTTTCCAAGTTCTTACTTTTTTTATTTTAGAGGCACTCATATTTACATATTCACCCCCCATTCCCTCACCCTCCCATCCTCCCATGTTCCCCACCAACCCCCCCAATTCCTCCCCAAGGATAATGAGGCCCTCCATGTGGTACCTTCAAAGTCTGTCATATTGTTTGAGGGAGGGCGTAGGCCCCCCTTGCTGTATCTGGGCTGCAATAGTATCCCTCCATAGGGAATGGGCTCCTAAAGTCCATTTGTGCTCTAGGGATAAACACTGGCTCCTCTCTTAGAGGTCCCATAGACTGCCTTGGCCTCCTGGCACCCACATTCAGAGGGCTTGGTTTGGTCCAATGCTGGTTCCCCAGATTTATTCGGTAAAAAAAAATACTCATGCTCTTTTCACAAACAGCTATGAAATGATTAATAACTTGTGCAGTGGCATAAACGAATTAGCAAAGTCTAATAGGCAAAAATAATGAAAATATATACATGTATGAAATTGTCAAATAATTTAAAAGCACACACTTGCTCAACAATTCTCTCAGTTTTTGCCCTTAATGTTTCTTAAAGGCTGGAAAATTGGCTCAGAAGTTAAGAGCACTTGCTTTTGCAGCAGATCTGGCTTCAATTCCCGACACCCCATGGGGGCTCACAGCAATCTATAATTCCAGTTCCAGGGGATCCAGAGTCCTCTTCTGCCCTTCACAGGTATTAGACATGCACATAATGCATGGAATTCATTCAGACAAAACAACACAGAAATTTTAAGAGTTTCTTAGGACTGACTATCCATGTTTTTCAAATATAGCACATAGAATTCAAGCTCTAGTTTATGAAAAAAAAAAAAAAGAAAGAAGTGCCTATAGGCACGTCTTTGAATGGCTTGAAACTCTGCTCTCCAGTCCATGAGTAGTTTGGCTTAAGAAATTTCAGACAGATGCAGACACCCATGGACAAACATCAGGCAGAGCTCAGGGAAGCCTGCTGAAGAGGGGGAAGGAAGGATTGTAGAGGTTAGAAGAGTCAAGGAAACCACAAGAAAATCCACAGAAACAACTAACTAGTCTGGGTTCATAGGGGCTCACAGAGACTGAACTGACAACCAGGGAGCCTGCATGCAGCTGACCTAGGGCCTCCACACTTAGTTACAGTTGTGTAGGTTGGTCTTCTTGTGGCTCTCCCACAGGGGAATAGGAACTATCTATGACTGGTGCTGCCTTTTGGGACCCTGTTCCTCATATTGGATTGCCTTGGCCAGCCTTAATACAAGGGGAAGAGCCTAGTCTTACTACAACTTGATATACCATGTTTGATTGATATCCATGGGGGGCCTTGCCTTTTCTACATAGAAATAGAGGAGTGGATGGGGGCAGAGGGGAAGTGGGGGGACTGGGAAGAGAGGAGGGAGGGGAAGCTTTGGTAGGCATGTAAAAAATAATAAATCATTAAAAAATTCAGGTGGTGTGTAGATGGCTCAGTAAATAAAATACTTGCCTTGCAAACATGATAGCTTGAGTTCAGATACCCAGCACCCATGTAAAAACTCAAGCCAGAGCAGTGCCCACCTGTAATCCTCATGCTGGAGAGGTAGAGACAGGAGGACCACTGGAGCTCACTGGCCAGCCAGATTTGCCAAATAGGTGAGCTCCAGATTCAGTGAAAGACCCTGTCTCAAAAAGTAACACGGAGAAAAATAGAGGACAACATCTGCCTGACATAGACCTTTGGCATATTTGTGTACCCACATACACATCTATGCAACACGGCACACATACACAGAAGAACAAACTTCAAGCTATTTTAGAAGATGGTACTATCATCTTTGGCACTATTACAAGGATTCCTTCCCTTGGGAGATGAAAACAACATCAATCTCCCTTTAAAGTCTTTAAAACAAAGTAGAAGTCCGTCAATGCTCAGCTAACCTGAAGAAAAGATAAAGTCATTGGGTTTCCCTACAGAGCATAGGTGAAGGTTTGTTTATGTGTGTGAGTGATCCCAATGCGGCTGCATGGAAAGTCTTCATGCAGCATGGATAGTGGCTTCTCCATAGTTGTATAGATGGAATCCCCCCAGTTAGCCTTCCCCTTAGCACCTCCAGAGCTCCCAAGGCCACATGCAGTTAGGGCATTAGGGCAGAACTGAATCCAAATGGCTGGAAGGAGTGGCTGGAATCAGAGTTCAGGGTCTAGTGAGTAACTGCATTGCCGTCATTGAGGGATCTTCATGGCCAACAGGCCAGCTAGCAACAATCTCTTACAAGAAAGGATAGTAGCTCTGCAGAAGATGGCTGCGGTGGTGTTCAGAGGACTGAGTTCTACAACAGGCAATTTGAATGAAATACTGAAATCATGGCTTTCTACAAAAGAAGTCCGATAATGGGAACATGGGTAATTGGCTTTGTATTCTCTCCTCCTTTACTTCCTTGTCAAGTAGTTACTGATTGGTCTTTCTGGAGTCCCGAGGAGCCAAATCCAGCGTATTTGAAGCTCTTGCCTTTTCCGGTCCTCAAAGCAATCTGTTTTCCTAACATAATTACCTGCTAACCCCTGAAGATTGGAGAGAAAATCAGAATTAGCTCATGTTCTTATTCTGCCTTTCTTAAATAATGGAAATCTTGCCTTCTAAAAGTAACTAAGTCTGGTGAGGTGGCTCAGTGAGGAAAGATGTTTGCTGCCAAGCCTAGTGACCCAAGTTCAATCCTCACTTCCTGCATGGTGGAAAGAGAATTTCCAAGCTGTCTTCTGGTCTCCACACACACAGGACATGGCATGTTTGCACCCACACACCCCCCCACACACACAAAATCACACACCCCCCCCCCACACACACACACACACACACACACACACACACACACAAAAACACACACACACACACACACACACACACACAAAATCACACATACATAGTCACATGCATACAGTCACACACATACAAACAAGTGTTTAAAAGCAAACCAAACATTTCCATGTAATACAGAGTACTGTTTCTTATTTGTTTGAACAATGCCATCACTTGGGGAACTGCAGTCTTATACGTTTGGCCTTTGGATTTGATTCATTGTCCTTGCATGTAGTCTTGAACTCTTGACTCACTATGTAAATTATGACTCCTGACCATCCAGCCTCCACGTCAGAAGTGCTGGGACGTGTGAGTCACCACACGTATCTTATTCCTCTCCCCTTTGTGAACATTTATCTGTGTTCTTTTGGGTTCTTCTTCTTCCTCTACTGACTTTCAGATACAGAGTGCATTTCCTAAGAGAACAAAAATGTAATGTGTGTATGTATAAGTACATAAGTATAGCCTGCTCAGTTTGTGTTACTTGCATGTTTGTTTCAGAGCTGACCGAAGAGTCATGAATTTGAAAAAGAGCAAGGAGGGATGTGTGACAGGGTTTGATGGGAGGAAAGGGAAGGGAGAAATGATGGAATTATAATCTCAAAACTAAAAATTGTTTTAAAGAGACAAATAACTTCTTTTAACATCATCTTGCTCAAATTCTTTTTCTCTCTTACCACAGCACACTTACATGACTTGCATTGGTTTCTATCTTACAATAGGATGCTTCCCTGCTACAACAAACAAAAAAGCATTAACACCATTTCTTCCCTTAAAAAGGCAAACAAACATTTATTTTACTTGTGTAAGTGTTTTGTTGGCATATCCATCTGTCCTTTTAATATATGTATGCTTATTACTCAAGGAGACCAAAAATGGATGTTGGGTTCATAGGGGCGACTTACAGGCAGTTGTGAGCTCTCAGGTGGGTGCTGGCCTTTGAGCCTGTGGCCTGTGGAGGAGTAGTAAGTGCTCTTAACCTCTGAGCCATTTCTGTATCCCAATCACTCCTTCAATCACAGATTGCTATAACAAGTAGCCT